CTTTCTCCTTCTTCTTCCTTTATTGAGTGATTTTGAGAGAGAGAGAGAGACAGAGAGAAACTTTGATTGGTTGTTTCACTTATGCGTTCATTGGTTGATTCTTATATTTATTTACTTTTTATTATTGACAGTATTTTTTTAATAGTTCATTCTTTTTTTTTCTTTTTTAAGTATATTTTATTGATTTTTTACAGAGAGGAAGGGAGAGGGATAGTTCCCAAAAACATTGATGAGAGAGCCATAGATCAGCTGCCTTTTGCACGCCCCCTACCGGGGATGTGCCCGCAACCAAGGTACATGCCCTTGACGGGAATCGAACCGGGGACTTTTCAGTCCACATGCCAACGCTCTATCCACTGAGCCAGACCGGTTTTGGCTGTCACTGACAGTATTACAAATGTCCCCTATCCCCCCTTTTCGCTTCCCTCCATCCATCCCCACCCACCACACTGTTGTCTGTGTCCATGGGCTACCCAAATGTGCACACCAGGTATATGTTCCCTGGTTAATCTCCTGTCCCCTCCACTCACCTTCCCTCTGAGACCTGTCTGTGTCCCATACATCCATGGCTCTGGACCTACTTTGTTGTTGTTTTTTCGTTTGTTTGTTTTTTTAATTTAAAGCTCTTTTTTTAAATTCTTTTTATATATATATTTTATTGATTTTTTACAGAGAGGAAGGGAGAGAGATAGAGAGCTAGAAACGTCGATGAGAGAGAAACATCGACCAGCTGCCTCCCACACACCCCCTACCGGGGATGTGCCCGCAACCCAGGTACATGCCCTTGTCCGGAATCGAACCTGGGACCTTTTGGTCCGCAGACGGACGCTCTACCACTGAGCCAAACCGGTTTTGGCTGGACCTACTTTGTTCATCAGTTTATTTTGATCATTAGAGTCCATATATAAGTGGGATCATGTGATACTTGTCTTCCTCTGGCTAATTTCACTTAGCATCACACTCTCCAGGCTCCTCCACTCTGTCACAAAGGGTAAGGGACCCTTCTCTCTTACAGCTGCCTATCTCCACTGTGTAAACGAACCACAGCTTTTTTACCCCCTCATCTTCCGCTGGGCACCTGGGCTGTTTCTTAGCTGTTGTAAATAACACTGCTATGGCGCTGGCCAGTTTGGCTCAGTGGATAGAGTGTCAGCCTGTGGATTGAAGGGTTCCAGGTTCGATTCCGGCTGGGGGCATGTGCCTGGCTTGCGAGCTCAATCCCCAGAAAGGGGCGTGCAAGAGGCAGCCCATCAATGATTCTCTCCCATCATCCGTGTTTCTTTCTCTCTCTTTCTCTCTCCCTTCCTCTCTAAAGTCAATAAAAATAATTTTTTTAAAAAAACACACAAAACACTGTTATGAACATAGGGGTGCATATATATTCTTTGATTGGTGTTTTGGGATGCTTAGGATATATTCCCAGAAGTGAGATCACTAAATCAAATGGCATTTCCCTTCTTAGTTTAAAATATATATATATTTTTTATTGATTTTTACAAAGAGGAAGGGAGAGGTATAGAGAGTTAGAAACATCAACGAGAAACATTGATTAGCTGCCTCCTGCACACTCCCTACTGGGGATTGAGCCCACAACCAAGGTATATGCCCTTGACCAGAATTGAACCCAGGACTCTTCAGTCCATGGGGCTGACTCTCTAACCACTGAGCCAAGCCAGCTAGAGCTTTAAAATATTTGTATTGATGCCGAAACCGGTGTGGCTCAGTGGATAGAGCAGACTGAAGGGTCCTGGGTTCGATTCAGATCTGGGGCATGTATAATACCTTGGTTGCAGGAGGCAGCTGATCGATGATTCTCTCTCATTGATGTTTCTAACTCTCTATCCCTCTCTCTTCCACTCTGTAAAAAATCAATAAAATATATTTTTAAAAAAATATTTGTATTGCTTTTGAGAGAAAGGAGAGAGGGAGAAAGACATAGAAACATCAGTGGTGAGAGAGAATCAGTGATCAGCTGCCTCCTACACACACACACACTGGGGATGGAGCCCACAACCCGGGCATTTGAATAAAACTGTGGCTTCCTAGTTCATATGTCAACACTCAATCACCAAGCCACGCCTAACAGGCCCCATTTTTGAAATTGCATTGTGTAAGTGGATTCTGGAGTTGAGTTGTAATAATCTATTGGCCACTTCCTGCACATCCCCTCCTGTGGATCAAGTCAGCAACCTGGGCATGTGCCCCTGAACCCATGACCTCCTGGTTCATGGTGAGTCAACACTCAACCACTGAACCACACCAGCCAGTCTCCCTTTTCAGTTTGATGATGGTTTCCTTTGCTGTGCAGAAGCTTTTTAGTTTGATGTAGTTTTTTTCTTTCTCTTCATTGTATCCTGACAGGGGATGGAACCCGCCACTTTGGCGTATCAGGATGACACTGTAACTATTAAGCTCCCTGCTGGGGCTTCCCAGTTATTTCTGCAGGGATGTGGGAGAAACTCCACCTGCTAAGCCTGGGAGCTGGACATGGAGAAGATTAAGGGTTTCTGTTGACAGATGAAGACACGAAGGGCCAGATGAACAAGCCTGGTGAAGATTTCTGAGCAAGGCAATCACTGGCCAGCTCTCTTGTGGTGTAGTCCTGGATCCCAGTCTGGCTAAACGGGGCCTGGATTTCTGTTACTTTAGCACATGGGCCCTTTGGCACCTAGGCTCCTATGCCACAGGGAAGATGGCTGGGTGGCTGCAATGGAGCACTGAGTGGGCACCAAGGCCCAAGGATGTGTCATCCTGATACGCCAAAGTGGCAGGTTCCATCCCCAGTCAGGGTACAATGAAGAGAAAGTAAACAACATACAAATGGGACTACTCCAGAAAGAGCCGGAGCCCCCAGACCCCTCCCTGACTCCACTGTGTGTCCTCACTGACCACTACTGCTCATATGGACCAGCTAATTGTTCATCTAGGCAAAACCTCTGGGTAGCTCCTGGCCGGTGTGGCTCCGTGGTTGAGCATAGACCTATGAATCAGGATGTCAAGGTTCAATTCTGGTCGGGGCACAGGCCCAGGTAGCAGGCTCAATCCCCAATTGGGGTGTGCAGGAAGGGGCCAGTCAATGATTCCCTTTCATCATTGTTCCTCTCTCTCTCTCTCTCTCTCTCTCTCTCTCTCTCTCTCTCTCTCTCTCTCTCTTCCTTCCTCTCTGAAATAAATATTTTTTTTTTTAAAAGCCACTTCTGAGTGGAGATTTCACTGTAGTGTCGAGGGATGGAATCCGGGAGTATAAAGGGTATTGGGGTCCAGGATTCTAGGAAGGGGTGAAGGGAACTGCAGGCTGGGAACTTCTGGCAGGAATCCCCAACTCCTGGAATGCCACCTGTGCCTTGGCTTTTGAACAAGAGGGGCTGGGAGGTCTGTCTGGGGAGTCCAGCTTGCCCGGAGGGGGGTGGTGTCAGTGCCAGGGAACACCTCCAGCTCTGATTCTTTGCCACTCCAAGGCTGGCCCTTTAAACCTCAGTCCATGATGTCACCATAGACAGCAAGAGGTGGGAGGGGGACTGCAGGCCTGAGGATGGACTGCATTTCCCAGCAGCCTGGGGGGCGCCACACCCTTCCCAGCGGGCACTGGCCCAGGCGGACGATTAACCGGCCCGGCGCCGGTTTCCATGGGGACTCTAAAGTGGCCATTCTGGGACGAGAGCGGGGGGTCCCCTGGGGGTGGACGGGTTGGAGCAGGCCGCATCTTTGGGCCTGGCATAGCATCGGGCCCCTTTCTGCGTGTTCTCTCATTAGTCCTAGCTTCCCGGTGCAAACTCCGGAGCCCTCCACCCTCCTATGCAGTCCCTTCCGGAACCTAGGCGCTCAGCACCACTCGGACCCCATCCCCAGGGTCAGCCCACGGGGCTGCCCGTCGGTCCGGCTGCCCCTTTAAGCGGCGCGGGGACTACATCTCCCAGCGGCCCCCGGGAGCTCTGACGCAGCCGCCCCGCCCCCGCCGCGGGAGTGCGGCTGGAGGGGGGACTTGATGTCATCCTGAGCAGCTGGGCGGCGGGCGCCGGGCGCATAAAGCCGGGCTCCGCGGCGGCGCTGCGCCAGGTCGGTCCCGCGCCCGGAGAAGCGGTCCCCGCGCCGCCCAGGCCCCCCAGAGCCCGCCGAGCGCCCGCGCCCCGACCCGCCGCTGAGCTGGGGGTCGGCCCCGGCCCCCCCGAGCCCGAGAGGGAGCCCCGGGGCGCCGCCGCCCAGCAGCCGGAGCGGAGCCCCGGGACGGAGCTCTGAGCAGCCGCCCCCTCCCCACCTGCGGCCCCTGCGGTCTGGGGCCCAGAGTCTGCGGCCCTCAGAAGTGAGTGTCCCCCCGCCGGAGGCTGCTAAGATTTGGGGGCGAGGAAGGAGCCGGGGTGGGGGAGGTGCTGGGTTCCAGGAGGGGGGTGGCATAGGGATAGGGCCCCGTTCTTGGGGAAGTCCCTGGCGGCCAGGATTAGTGGGGCAGGAATGGGGCCCCGTTCTGTTGGGGGCCAGCGGGAGGAGCGGGGTCCCCGCTCTAGGTGGGGCTGGCTCTGTGCGGAGCGGAGCGGGTTATTTTGGAGCGGGGCCCTCAGACTGAAGGGGGGAGGGACTTGTCCCCTGGAGGGAGGGTCCCACCTCTGTTTAGGATCTGGGCCGGAGGAGGGAACAGAGATGGGCGCCAGCAGCACTCACTGCCATCGTCTTCCCGGAAAAACTGACCGGCTCTCTCCATCTCTTCTTGCTGACCTCTCTGCCCGACTTCGCTCTCCAAAGACCCAAGTGGGAACCCCAACTGGACTCTCCGGGACCCCCAGGAAGATCCTGAGACCTCAGCCATCCTCCTCTCCACCCTGCCTGCGCCCCAGGACTGGGCAGTTGCCGAAGGCCCTGGGGGGGGCCCAGGACTGTGGTTGTGGCCCCCCCCTGCCCCCCCGCCCCAGGATGGGCCCGAGTTAGTCAGCCAAGCCTCCCCCAGCACCTTCTAGGGCCAGCAGGAGCCCCGGAGTCCGCGCAGGCCTCGCCGCCGCCTGGCTGTCATGGAGACGAAGCTGCCCCCGGCCAGTACCCCCACCAGCCCCTCCTCCCCGGGGCTGTCCCCTGTGCCGCCGCCCGACAAGGTGGATGGCTTCTCCCGCAGGTCCCTCCGCAGGGCCCGGCCCCGGCGGTCCCATAGCTCCTCTCAGTTCCGCTACCAGAGCAACCAGCAGGAGCTCACGCCGCTGCCCCTGCTCAAAGGTGAGCCCTCGCTGGTGCCAGGGAGGGTGGTGAGCAGCAGCCGGCAGCTGCCATCGGAGGGGGTTTGGGGAGCCCCTTCCGGGTGAGGGACTCCCCCATCCGAGCTGACCCCCACCCCAGCCCTCTGCTGACGCATGGCCTGATCGGCCTGTCATCCTTGGAGGTGGGGCATCGGAGGTGGCGCCACCCTGGGGGGCAGACCATGGCCAGGGGTGGGGCCCACAGCCTGGGCTCCAGAGGCCGCTTGAGGCCCAGGCGCTGCCAGGGTCCAGGAGCGGGTATTTAGCAGGGCTCCCTGGGGTCACTGTGTAACCCCCACCTCCGGGCTAAGGGCCTGACCCTCAGCTCTGACCCTTCACCCCACTTCTGGCTGTTAGAGTGCCACCTTTGGAGGGAGAGTGGCTGCTGGGGGCCCCTTGGGAAGCCCAGCAGTCGGGGTGCTCAGGCCACCATGCCTGCCCTCTGTGGGTTCGGAGGAAGAGACTCACAGGAGTGGGGATGGCACAAGAGCATGGGGTCTGAGGGCGGGGGGCTGCCCTAGGATCAGGAGGGTTCGCCCCTCCCCAGAGCTGTGGCAGCTGGAGCCCAGGCTCAGCCCCCCCTCCTCCCCAGACGTGCCGGCCTCGGAGCTGCACGAGCTGCTGAGCAGGAAGCTGGCCCAGTGCGGCGTGATGTTTGACTTCTTGGACTGCGTGGCCGACCTGAAGGGGAAGGAGGTGAAGCGGGCGGCGCTCAATGAGCTGGTGGAGTGTGTGGGGAGCACGCGGGGAGTGCTCATCGAGCCCGTCTACCCGGACATCATCCGCATGGTGAGCACCTGCCGCCCGCCTCGGGGAGGGACTGGGGGCACAGGGACACTGCTGACCTGTGGGGTGTGTGTGGGGGGGTAGTCCTGTTTGAGAAAAGCCCAATACCCTCCTGCCTGGCCTCGAGTCCCACATCTCCCCTCCCCACTCCGCCCTCCAGTGCACCTGCCCAGGGCCAGCAGGGTCACTGCTGCTTATGCTCTCCCCAGGCCTGTGCACACTCTTCCCTCTGCCCCCGCTCCTCCCCTACCCCCCCTCCCCCCTCCGCGCCCCAAGTCCCTTATCGCCAAGCCCTGGCTCAGGTGCGCTTCTTAGGAAGCCTCTCTCAGTGCCCTTTTGCCGCCTGCAATGTCCGCAGTCCTTGCTGCTGCCCATCTGGTCTGCCCACGGGCTGCACCACATAGAGGGTGGGACGTGTCTTATCCACCCGGATCCCCAGCCCCCGGCCCAGGGCTTCCATGAATTACGTGATCGGGGAATGACTGCCACCACGGAGTGAGTGCTGGGGCAGGTGCTGGTCCTGGCTCCCGCCTCTGGGGCTCTCTCGTAGAGAACCGAACCCGTGTGTGTCCCTCAGATCTCGGTGAATATCTTCCGGACGCTGCCGCCCAGTGAGAACCCTGAATTTGACCCTGAAGAGGATGAGCCCAACCTTGAGCCTTCGTGGCCACATCTGCAGGTCTGAGGGCTGGGGAGGCAGGGATGGAGCTTTAGAAAAGGTGGAGGACGGGGGAGGGTCTCCTCAGGTCCTGGGCTGGTGAATGAGGGCCACAGGGTGGGGTGAGGAGGGGAGTCTGTCCTCAAACTCCCCTTTGGTCCGTCCCCTCCCCAGCTGGTGTACGAGTTTTTCCTGCGCTTCTTGGAGAGCCCAGACTTCCAGCCCTCCGTGGCCAAGAGATATGTGGACCAAAAGTTTGTCCTGATGGTGAAGTGGGGGACCAGGCCGGGGGTGCCAGGGGGCAGGGGATAGAATGGAAGCACCCCACCCCGGCTTGGTCTCTCCCCTGACCCTTGACCCTGGTCCCACAGCTCCTAGAGCTCTTTGATAGCGAGGACCCCCGGGAGCGTGAGTACCTCAAGACCATCCTGCACCGGGTCTACGGCAAGTTCCTGGGGCTCCGGGCCTACATCCGCAAGCAGTGCAGCCACATTTTCCTCCGGTGGGCGCCCGCTGCCCGCCGCCGCCCGCGGGACCTGGAGAGGGGGGGGAGCAGTCTGAGGCAGAGGCTCCGGGCAGGGGGAACCAAGGAACTCTGGTTGCCCGAGCACTTTCTTGGCGACATATTTTGTAATATTGATTATTCACAGCCTGTGAGGTCAGCAGAGAAAGGGATTGGTTTCCATTTTACAGATAAAGAACTGGAGGCTGAGAGGGACGCAGTGGTTTGCAGGGCCTCTGTCAGTCCAGGGGGGGGGGTCTATGATCTGTATCTTTTGACTTTTATTGTGCTCAGCCATAGGGGCCTATTCTTTCTGTCCGGCTGGTGTGGCTCAGTGATCGAGCGTTGACTTATGAACCAGGAGGTCACCGTTCAATTCCTGGTCAGGGCACATGCCCAACTTGTGCAGGCAGGAAGCAGCCAGTCACTGATTCTCTCTCATCAGTGATGTTCCTCTCTCCCTCTCCCTCTCCCTTTCTCTCTGAAACCAATACAAATATATATATTTTAAAAAGATCCTTTCTGCAAATGTGTGTCGAGCACCAATGCTAGCATGGCCTTGTGGTTGAGACTGGCTCTGAAGTAAAAGGCCTGTATTTGGATTTGGTTCCAATATTTGGGTACTCAGGCACGTTATTTAAGCTCTCCTAGTTCCCTCATCTCTAAAGTGGGAATGACAGCTACCTCAGGGACAGTCATCACGAAATGAGGCGATGCCTCCAAAACAGGACTGCGCCCTGCCCGAGGCCGGAACTACAGAGTGGGTGAGACACGATCCCTCAGGCTCCCTTAGGTCCCCTGCTTATTCACTTTGGGACACGCTTCACTGAACCACTGAGCCTCCATTTCTTCATCTGTACAATGGATCCAATACACCCCGCCTCCTGGGATAGCAGAGGAGATGCCCTAAGTGCCTGGCATTCTTTCGGTTGACTGGCATGAAGAGTGAAGGACACAGGCTAGGTGCCTGCTGACTGGATGGGGACCAGGTCAGAGGGGTAGGGTCTGGGGGAAGCGAATGCTTCCTGGCAGAGGTTTGAGCTGAGACCAGAGAGGCACTGGTGGCTGGGCTGAGAAGGTGGGTGTGGATCTCCGTGGGGCCTGCTCAGGGTATTGGGAAGGGAGCATGGCCCCTGGTGGGGAGAGAGGACTGGCGTGCAGGGCTGGGTGGGCAGGCAGGCTGGCTGGGAGGGGCTGGGCCTGCTCCAATTGCTCTGAGCCCTTCTGTCCTCCTCTTCCTCCGGCAGGTTCATCTATGAACTCGAGCACTTCAATGGCGTGGCCGAGCTGCTGGAGATCTTAGGAAGGTGACTCTCCCTGGGCCTCCGCCGAGCAGCAGCGTTTGGGGAGGAAGGATTGAGGCCGGTCACCTGAGCCCTGCTCTCTTCTGTCCCCTCCTCAGCATCATCAATGGCTTTGCGCTGCCCCTGAAGACTGAGCACAAGCAGTTCCTGGTTCGGGTCCTGATTCCCCTGCACTCCGTTAAGTCGCTGTCAGTCTTTCACGCCCAGGTAAGGCCCAGACTTACCCGCACAGCAGGCAGCGGACAGAGTCAGGGCAGCCATGCGGGTCAGCCTGCCGCTCTGGCTCAGCCACACTAAGTCACCTCCTTTTTCTTTACTGATTCCGTTCCTTCTACCTAGAGAAGCCCCCTGACCCTTTAAGGCTCTCAGACATCAGTTCTGTGAACCCTTCCCAGACCCTTGGTCTCAACCTGCCATAGGCAGGCTTAAACGCTCCTGTATTCGCATAGATTGCGATACAGATTTCTGTCGTGGAAACTTGTGTGACATTTATAAAGGCTGGTTTGCTGAATGTCACCCTGTGAGGTCATCATTGTGTCCCTGCACACTGGGCACGAAGCCTGGTACATCCCAGGCAGATGCTGGGGGGATGAGAGTAGGTCCTGCCCTAGTCCCCTGCGGACCCATCTTCTCTCTCTCTCTCTCTGCCCCCTTAGCTGGCATACTGTGTGGTGCAGTTCCTGGAAAAGGATGCCACCTTGACAGAGCATGTGAGTACCTGTGGGGGAGAAGGCAGGTCCCCGTCCCTGCAGGTCTGACTCCTTTCTGCCTCAACTCCCACAGGTGATCCGGGGACTGCTCAAATACTGGCCAAAAACCTGCACCCAGAAGGAGGTAGGAAACGGGCTCAGACGACCACCAGAGGGGGTTAGGAAAGCTTAGCTTCCGGAGGGCAGTCAGGGGTGTGTGTCGGGAGATGGAACGCTGCCCTGTCCCTGCCCCCAGGTGATGTTTCTGGGGGAGATGGAAGAGATCCTTGATGTCATCGAGCCCTCCCAGTTTGTGAAGATCCAGGAACCCCTGTTCAAGCAGGTGGCTCGCTGTGTGTCCAGCCCCCACTTCCAGGTATGGGGTGGGAATGGGTGAGGGTGGGGCCTGGGGAATGGACTGGGAAGGTTGACCAGTTGACCTAACACAGCTCCCCTGGACTCTCCTGGGTCTGATAAGGGGGCGATGCTGGCCTTAGGGTCGAGCCCTTGGGTCAAGCCTTAGATCTGCCTCCCACTGGCTGAGGGGCGTTGGGCAGATCACGTCACTCTGAGTGATTAAGCTTCTTATCTGTCACGTGTCCAATAGGGACGTTAGAGATAGTTGGGGTAAGCATGTTCGGTAACTAAAATGTGCTCCATGTGGGTTATCCCTTCTTTTCTATTTAAAATATATTTTTATTGCCGAAACCGGTTTGGCTCAGTGGTAGAGCGTCGATCTGCGGACTGAAAGATCCCAGGTTCGATTCCAGGTCAAGGGCATGTACATTGGTTGCAGGCACATCCCCGGTAGGGGGTGTGCAAGAGGCAGCTGGTCGATGTTTCTCTCTCATCAACGTTTCTAGCTCTCTCTCTCTCTTTCTCTCCCCTTCCTCTCTGTAATAAGTCAATAAAATATATTTTTTTAAAATACTAAGTATCATTTTTTAAAAATCATATATATATATATATTTTTTTTTTATTATTATTATTTTTTTTTACTGATCTCAGAGAAGAAGGGACGAGAGAAAGATAGAAACACCAATGATGAGAGAACCATTGATTGGCGGTCTCTTGCGCACCTCCCACTGGGGATGGAGCCCACAACCTGAGAAAGTGCCCCTGACCAGAATCGAACCCAGGACCTTTCAGTCTGCAGGCCGACACTCTATCCAAACCATCTAGGGCATCTCTCCTTTTCTTAGTGGCCTTCAGTTTAATCAGTCCCACTTCAGGGCCCAGCTGGGACTCCCCCACTCCCCACCATGAGGCTGGCTATAACGTGTGTGACAGACTCGCTCCCATTCTCATGAGCCATAACCTGGTGGAAGCCAATTCTTCCTCACAGTGATTCTGGCACCTCATTCAACAGCCCTGGGGAGATAGCTATTAGTTATTAGCCCCCTTTTACAGATGAAACGGATGAGGAAACTGAAGCTGAGAGGTTAAATGCCTTGCCCAAGGTCATGTGACCAATGTGCAGCAGAGCTAGGACTCAGCCCTGAGCGTTGGACTCCAAATCCAGTTTCTCTCCTCCGTCACAGTGCTTCCTCCAGTGGGCTAGAGGAGTGCTGAGGATGCGTGTGAGGCAGGGCACCCTGGGGTGTGGGGCGGGGTGGATACAGCCCTTGCACCTGCAGGGAAGCCTCTGCCAGGCACTCCCTCCGCCATCTCCCGCCCCAGGTTGCAGAGCGGGCTCTGTATTTCTGGAACAACGAATATATCCTGAGCCTCATTGAGGACAACTGCCACACTGTGCTGCCTGCTGTGTTTGGGACCCTCTACCAAGTCTCCAAGGAGCACTGGAACCAGTGAGTGCCCAGGCCCGACCTAACGCGCAGATGCGGGGTCCCGGGGCAGCCAGTGCAGACCGGGGTTACTCCTAGCTAGAGAGCCTGAGGGAAGGGGCTCCAGAGGGCTGAGGGGTGGCGCAAGGGCAGGCGGAGGGCAGCGCCTGTGTGGTGGCTGCACGCCGTTTGGGACAGGGATAGGCAGAGTGCTGTGGAGGGAGGTGGGGCCACGCTGAAGTTGCTCTCATCTCACCCCTCCCCTGACCTGCCAAGAACCATCGTGTCTCTGATCTACAATGTGCTCAAGACCTTCATGGAGATGAACGGGAAGCTGTTTGATGAGCTCACAGCCTCCTACAAGCTGGAAAAACAGCAGTGAGTGTGGGGAGCTGGACACGGAGGGAGGGGAGAGCAGGAAGGAACCAGCTTCTCCTGGTTGGAGGGAGCCTCAGAGGATGACCTCACATCCAATGTATTCAGATATTTAAAGTCTCTCCCTGTTCCTGGCAAGTGCTGCCCACTCCCCATGACCCGTCGTCCTCCCAGGGTGGAGTGTGGAGTTTCCTCTCTCCCTAGCTGGTCTCGGAGCCAGGCCGTCAGCCTGCTCAGGACCGGCCTCCTCAGTGATCTCCTCCGAGCGGAAGGCTCCCCTAGCTCGCTGGCAGCTGAGGTGGAGCTGAGGGAAGCTGGCTGCGGGCAGGCACAGACGGACCTGCCTTCCTCTCCCCGCAGGGAGCAGCAGAAGGCCCGGGAGCGGCAGGAGCTGTGGCAGGGCCTGGAGGAGCTACAGCTGCGCCGGTTACAGGGGACCCAGGGGGCAAAGGAGGCCCCGCTCCAGCGCCTTCCACCCCAGGTGGCCGCCAACGGGGGCCAGAGCTAGAGATCCTGTAGGAAGGGAGGAACTAAACCCAGAGCTGTCAGTCCCTCTGTGCCCTCCTGCCCAGGGGCCCAGAGACACACACCTACCCCTGGCCTGGCCAGAGTGCATCGGAGGGCTCCCTGCCTGGCCCAGCGTGGGCACTTGACGGTGGGGAGAAGAGGAGATGGTGGTCCTGGCAAGAGAACTCTCCGGCCCTTGTGGCAGGACTTGACCAGGGCAAGCTTGACCAGGCAGCTGCCATCAGGGATCTCCCTGCCCCAAAAGCTGGGCTCCCGTGCAGGCAGGCTCCCACACCCTGCCCCCAGCCCAGGGCAATGGGCTCAGGCCTCATGAACCCCACCTCGTGCCAGCGCGAGGTCCTCTGCACCCCACCATGGATCCATGGTCTATTTATTCTCCCCTGCTCACCCCCAACGATGCTGACCTGGGCCTGGGCACCCTCCTCCCCTCCTCTCCCTCCCTCTGTTCTTTCTTGTCCCCTTTTTATTTATTGGGCAGGGGGAGGGGTGAGGGCACAGGCAGAAGAGATTCCCCATGTCCGGGGCAAGGTGGGCTCACAGTTACCTTGGTCTGTCCCCCTTCCCCTGGCTGGGGGTAGACTTAATAAAGACAGAAACTCAAGGACTGCTTGCTTTATTAAGGGAGATGGCAGAGAGGGAAGTGAAATGATGAGACTGGTGAGGAGGTGGTAGAGGCAGGCAGCTTCCCCTTTCGGTCCGCAGTGATGCTCAGGATATACAGAGGGACTCCCCCTCCTCCCTCTGACCAAGCGGTGGGAGGTGGGGACGGGTGGGCTAGTAGCGTGAGAGGCGACACATGTCACACTGGCAGGCTCTGGCCGTAAAGATGTCCAGCTCCTCCCTCTGGCCGCCCCCACACTGCAGCTGCACCTTCACCTGTGCGAGAGGGGGTTCGGTTCCAGTCCCCCTCCTGAGCCATTTTATACCCCGACTCCTCTGCCTCCCCCCATGGGCCCCTCACCTTCCTCAGGCCGGTGATGGTGCAGCATTGAGAGATGGAGGTGACGTTGTGGCGATAGCCACTGGCCGCCAGCACTGAGTACCGCGAAGGGAAGGCGCTGGATTCGCAGTGGCCCACACAAGCCTGGGCCACGTGGGAGCCCTGGCAGGTGCCTTGGCGGTCACTGCGCACCGTCACGGTGAAGGCTAGGAGACAGGTGGGCTGTAGCCAGTGCCTCGGCGAGGTCTCACCCAGCTCCCGCCGCCCGTCCCTCCGTGGGCCCGTCAGGCTGCCGCCTGCCCCCGTCCAGCCCATCAGCTCTCTGCTCCCACCCAGCCCTCTGCCCCAAGTTACTCACGGTGCAGGTGGCAGCCTGGGATGGCCGCCTGCTGACCCCAGCCTTCAGTGGTCACCAGGAACAGCAGGCAGAAGAGCAGGGTTTGGGGGGACGCCATGGGCATCTGAAACAGTGGGTAGAGATGTCTCTAGGGCGTGTGCAGGCAGATGCTTCCAGATGAATGAGCCAGGGCCAGGTGAGCCTGTCTGACTGCCCTGTACCTGCCTTTGAGTGCGTCTGCTGAATCTCTCTGGATGGCCATCGGCGTGAGCAGCAGTCTGGATGTGATGTCAGCTCACTGTGGTGGTTTCCCCCTGCATTTCTCCCACCATCTGGCGCACAGACATCTGCCCCTACCATTTGCCCATCTTGGCCTATAGGACCCCATCTGCATCCCTGGGGCCCTCAGGGCTCCTGCCTCAGGGGCTTACCTCTTGCAAGGCCCAGGACTGAGTGGCTGGCTGAGTGGCTCGGTGAGCAGCTGCTGCTGGTCTTGAGACTCCTGCTTCTCAGACTTTTATCTGCCAGCAGTAGGGAGCCACGCCTTCCCAGAGATCAGCTTTCAGTCCTGCGCCCAGCCTCAAGCCTCAGGCCTCAGTGATCCCACCTGGGAGATCAGCTCCTCTGAGGTGTGGTTGGGGGCGTGGTGTCTGCTTTCTGCTCCCTTCTGCCCAAAAGCTGCGCACGGCCCAGGGCTGGGGAAGGAGGTGGGGAGTGAAGCCCAGGAGCTGGCGGAGTGGCAGCTGTGTGCAGGTGGAGAAAGGGCTAGGTTGTTGCCATCTGGGTTCTCTGTGTGTGGCCTTGGGCAGAACACTCAGTGAGGGCCTCACCACCCCAACCTTAGAACTACTGATGCAAGGCTGGCATGGTGCAATGGTTGAGGGGTGACCTACAATCCAAGAGGTCACTGGTTCAATTCCCGGTTAGGGCACATGCCCCGGTTGCAGACTGGATCCCCAGTAGGGGTGTGCAAGAGGCAACCGATCCATAATGTTTCTCACTGAAGTTTCTATTTCTTTATTCCTCTCCCTAAAAATTAGTAAAAATATCTTTTTAAAAAACCCCACTAAACTCAGGCCAGTCTGTCTCCTTAATCTACCGCAGAGGAAAGGGTCTGGGAGATTTTTTTTAATTTTTTTTTTTTGAGTGTGCGGGTAGGGGTGGGGGGTGGATTCTTAAGACAGAGGAAATGACAGCATGTTTCCAAGGGCTGTGGCTGGTTGTAGCCATGGTTCTCCTACTGCATGGGAGAGCAACCTGGAGAGACTGGCAGCTTAGGTCAATGTCACAACTCAAGGCAGCTGCCACTCGCCTTTCCTATAATTATCTTCAAACAAAGAAATTACACCAGGGGTCGTCTGCTGAGACGTGCTTGGAGGCAGAGCCGGTTGCTTCCACTGTCAAGTGACAGGCTTCTCACCCTGGGGGTCAGCTCCAGAGTGGGCTTCTGGTCACCGGGCCAAGAGATCTGGCACCGGGAAGAGCCTGACGTTGTTGATCCCAGCAAATCCCATCATCCAGTCCAGCTCTGGCTCTAGCTTCCAGGTGAGGCAGCTACAGATCAAAGGAGGTCACACAGCTGTTAGGGCGACTGGGAACCCAACCCTGCTCCATGCATGGTGCTGAATTACACTGGGACAGGAATGGGGCCAGCTGGGAAAAAACCCCCTAGCCACCAGTAGCTGCAGGGACTGGGTGGGGTGGAAACCAGAAGGTGATTGGCCCCCAGCCCCGGGGCCACTGCCTCCCAGTCCTGCTCAGCAGAGCCAGCTGCAGGGCCTGTCAGAGCTCACCAAAGGCCCCTCTTCATTTCCCAGAGGAGAAAATAACCGAGGGAAAGCGGCTTTGCCCGGGCTTCCCTGTAAGCTAGCCAGGCAGAGGCACTCAGCTCTCCAGATGCCGGAGCTGTGCCTGTCGGCAGCTTTGTGCCGCAGGCCATGCTTGGGACAAGAGGGCGCAGGCTGTAAACGCACCTTGTCCCTCGTCCTCCAGTCCCGACCCCGCTGGTTTCCCCTTCGGCCCTCCTCTCCTCAGGTCCCAGGCCCTTTCGCAGCAGCCCACCTCCTCTTCTCCGCACCCAGCTGAAGGCAGCGAACAAGGGGGCTCCAAGCTCCCACTCACCCCAGCACCGGACAGATAAGTCAGCTGTGAAAGACTCCACGGTGGGCCACTCTAATACTAGACATCTCTAACGGTTAGAAAAGCAGTCCTTGGCCTCAGCTAAAATGAGTTTACCTCAATTCCCGACAATTACTTTGATCCTCGCTGGCCACGCAACAGGAACCTAATCTGTCTGTCCTGGCAGTGAGTCTGGCAAGACCCTAACTGCTGGCAGGCGACTGGAAGTTTGCAGTGAAATACAGACCCCACCCACCAAGCATCCTGTCAACGAGAACCAGGTAGACCCAGGCAGACCCACGGGAGGTGGCAGGCATCGCTTCTCTGTATCTTGAGGAAAGAGTTTGCTCTCTCTCACCCTCTACTTCACTGAACTCAGTCAATAACTGTTCATAAATAATTAATTGCCATAAGGATCCTAAGTGCTGGAGCTGAAAGGTCTAAACTGAACCTCAGAGCAGTACAATTCTCAGAGTAGAGCATTTTAGAAAGTTCTTTTCTTAGTTTTAAATTGGAAAAAAAATTTTATTGGAAAGGGGTGAGGGACAGGACAAGCCAATAAGGAGACTCAGGGAGCGTGGGCCCTCCTTCTCCAGGACTCGAGTGTCATAAGCAGAGAGGATGGAAGGCTCACTGGCTGCTCTTCCCGAAGAAATACCGGAACGGGAAGAAAGAGCTGCAAGAAAGAAAGCAGAACAGGCTGAGACTCTAGCAGTCCCTTCTCTCCGCCCAGGGTCTCAGTTTGAAGGCAGGAGAGAAGTCTGTCTTACCTCAGAAACCCAAAGAAGCCACCGGTGCCCGGGCCTGTGGGGCCCGCAGGTGGAGGTGCGTTGCTTTGCTGCAGCGGGGGGCTGGTCTCCCTTGCTGGGCTCTCCTCCCACCTAGAACCTGCAAGGAAAACGCTCAGGCAGGAAGTGTTGGGGGGGGCTATTTCACATGCGCAGAAGGCAGGACACTCAGCATGAGCCAATGGCAGCTCACGCCAGGATTTTTTAAAGCCAGGTGAATTCTTTGTTCTGACTTTCCCAAGTTCATCTCAGCCCAGTAAGATGCTATCTGACCTTGGAGTCATTTCCAAAGCCAGGCCTCTGAGATTTTCACTCTGTGAGTCCCGGCCCCCACCAGGTTGGTGTCTGCATGTGGAGTGAGAACTTGGTGAAGAATTCACTTGCTCACAGGCCTGTTTCTGTGATACCTGCAGCCATACTGAGGCCCGATGCTAGGTAAGACCAGCAAGTTAGGAGGGAGACACTGCCACATGCATTCCCAGCCTTGCTGAGCATCTGCTATACCTTCAATATTAACACTACTGCCCCGAGGGGAAAATAAGAGACAGCTTCCCAGAGATCGTTCTCCAATAAAACAAAAAGTCATACATCCTTTCCAACTTCTTTGTAAAACTTATCACCCAACATGGAGCTGTTTTGAAACATTGGGAGCCTCAGTTTCACTATCAGAAGCACGGGGAGGCCATGCCCGGCCTCCCTTCACTCCGCCAGGGAGCTGGGCGAGGCTGGCTCCTGTCACTCCAGGGCAGGCCCTAGCCTGGAGGGCGGCCAACAGGCACCTTCATGGAAACAAGACACACCACCACCGAGCGTGCCCAGACTCAGAGCTCTGTGCTGCTCTGCTATCAGAAAACTAAAGGTACAGGATGCGCATTAGAGAATAAATGCCCTTCCCGGAACCTACCCTGTGCCTGGCCATCAGCGCCATCAAATGCCGGAGTCTCCTGACATCCCTGCTGGGTGTTTCTTTCCATGTTCTGGTAAAAAGAGGACCAAAGAAAAATGTAAACTTGACTCTTAGACACCTTGGGGTCTGAATGCTATTTGTTGGTGAACTGATTTCACATCAGTGCTGGGGCCTGGCTTCTGACTGCTCAGGCAGGTTCTGTGTTTCCTTCGGTATGATGTCCTTTCCCATTTCAGCTTCCTAACCACTGTCCTCCTAAAATAAGATTTAAGAGCTGAGAATAAACCAAGCTGGGTTTAACTTATTATTCCGTATTACTGAGTGCCAACTCTTACTAATGGCACAATAGTGAGGTTCAGCAATCTGGAGGACCTTCCCTTTACTGAGAATAGTATAACCTATGGATAAACTGACACACAGACCAAGTCTTACAAGGCGGGTGATAAGACCACCCCATGAGTCTACAGGGAGTGCTGTGGTTGATGAGAAGGACGTGAATAGAGCAGGTAGCAGCTAATCAAGGAAGACTTCACAGGGAATGAGTGAGATTTTGTCCTAACGGGGTAAACCGGGGTTAGGAGGTGGTCAGGGAGAGCAGGCCGTTCCAGAACGGATGTGCTGCACAAAGGCACAGTGCCACTGAGTACCAGTAAATAGGATCAGCATGGCTAGAGCTGGGCAGGGGAGACAATAACCACAACATAAGCAATCAGCACAATCTCATGATTTCTCCTTGTGCTCTCCCTCCACTAGTACAGAGCTTCCTTTTGACATCCCACAACCTGGTTCCAAACCCACATTTCCAGTAGCCAACCTGAGCGCCAGAAACTTGGATCCTATTTTCTGTGGGAATCTCTACCACTGATAATTCCCCTCACCAGGGGGAACAAAGGGAATGAATGGGTTTGCCCTCCTTCCCATTTCCCCCCAAATGCCCGGTATGGAACCTGAGGGCCTGAATACCAAGCAGTGCTGGTGAGGAATTCTACAGCAAGGGGCTGCATACTGTCCAGGTAGGTCTGGGAGGCAGAAGCATGGCAAGCCACCAGGGAAGTTAGAATATAGCACCCAGCCTAAGCAAGCTGGTATTTCTGATATGAGCTTTTCCACAAACCATCAAATTCCAGGCCACAAAGACAGCCACTTAAATAATCTATATCTATATCTATATCTATATAAAATCCTAAGTGACCATTAGGACCCAATGACCAGAACGACCAGTTGACCAGTTGCTATGAGGTACACTGACCACAAGGGGGCAGACACTCAACACAGGAGTTGCCCCCTGGTGGTCAGTGCACTCTCACAGGCCTCCCTCCCCGGCCCGCCATAGGCCTTGACCCCATCCATACATGAATTCATGCACTCTACAATTCCTACAAAAGTGAAAGGAAACTCTGGGAAGGAAGAAGACATCTTTTAACTCTTCTAGATGGGAATTCAGAGGATTCAGCTCTGATTTCTAGCTTGAAGGAATGATTCTTACAATTTTAATGAAACTGTGGTTTGGAGCATTGACCCTAATGAAAGCATCTGGAAAGATCGGTAGTGGTGACCAGAAGAACAAAGGCCCTAAGGCAGAGGTAAAGCCTACTTCTGAACCAGGGAACTTCCCCTCACAAGATAATTGAGCTTTTCTGTTCTTTTGAAATCCTTAGGCAAATGTCCAGAGAGGAAAAAAACATTACGGCCTGAAATGAGACTGAGGGTATCATCTGGGACAGCCAATGGGACACAATACTCTGAAAACCAAACACAAGGTTGCTTCCGTATGTTCAGACCAGATCTGCTTAGAAGTGCAATTCAAGCAGAGGTAGCAAACACAAAAACCACCAACACACATGCAATGTGTCTTACCTCTAGACCATATTTCTGTTCTCCCCCATTTATTTTTTTAACTAAAAAATTATTTTTAGTGACTTGAGAGAAAAAGGGAGAGGAGAGAGATGGAAACATCAATGATGAGAAACTGATGAGCTGCCTCCTACACACCCCACACTGGGGATGGAGCCCACAACCTGGCATGTGCCTTCATTGGGAATTGAACCATGACCTCCTAGTTCATAGGTCGATGCTCAACCGCTGAGCCACGCCATCTGGGCTCTCTCCCAGTTTTTACCCTTCCAACCTCTGGATCTCTAGGTCTTGGAAACGGGGGTAACAAAGGGAATGAACGAGTCTGCCCTTCTCCCCAAAACAGAGGACTTATTCAGATGCATGATCTTCTTTTAAGCTTTCCCCACATAGGCTCTCAATGTGTTCAGACGTGCATAATCCACACTGTGATCTTACACCCTAACTTCCCCCCAAGGGGGAGAGAAAATATTAAGCATTGGACCATAGGAGCAAATTCAATTTTTTCCAGCTCAAGTGACTTACACTGAGCGTCACTGTGATCACGTTAATTTAGGAGAAATCCTCTTCCTGGGAACGGGGTCTACAACGGAGACTGTCTTTGGGCTTTGAGTCAAAATCAATAAACATGTTCCTTTTGGATTTCTTTCTTGCTCAAGAGTTTTTTTTTTTTCTAAATTCAGTATCAGGTTGAAAAGGTAATTATGTTGAATAAGAAACTGTGAGTACTGTTCCTAAAGGAGATGATTTGTCAAGCTAAGAATAGGACGGTATGAAGGGAGAAAGTGAAGGAAATGTTCCTTAAACAGTAATTATCTTGGTTGTATAAAGCATCTTTGTTCTCCAGAGTTTCATGTCTCCTGTTGTACTTTTTTGAGTTCTTCTTCCCTCTCTAAAGGATGAGAGGATAGAAGAGAGCAACCATCTAACCATCTACCTACAATCACTGCGGGACCAGTTGGCCATGCATGGCACAGGAGGCCCTGTAGCCCAGGGCTGCCCACAGGCAGACATCTGAGTCCTAGAGGGTACCCGCTTCCTCCCACTACATGGTCAACTCCTAAAAGAAACCAAATGTTACATGCTTTGGTGTGCCTCTGCATCTCACACAATGCCTTGCAAACAGAAGACAGAGAATCATTAGGAATGAAAATCATTTTACTTTTCTACTTAAAAGTGCTTCGGGGAATTCCTGTCATCTGGAAGGCAGCCCTAAGGCCTTTCAAGCTCCAGCCAGTGCTGACTCCCCAGTGACAGCTCCCAGCACCACTGCTTCAAGCTCTGGGCACTGGCTCGGAGTCACCAAATGCACTGTACTCTCTCCTCTTGGCCTTACTTCTTGGAGCTCCTCTGAGCTGCTACAGAAATCCTCCTTGACACCCACCTAATCTGGGTGAGGCTATCCTGTGGTGCTGCCTTTATTCCTCTCATAGCCTATTTATCAGCAATGGCCTGCCTAGCTTACACTGTTGGCATTTTTAGGTGAGATTGTGATATCCTTAGTACTTGGCACATAGTAGATTACTTAAAAGTTTGCTGAATGGATACATAAATGTTTGCTCATTAACTGATCATATAATGGAGTCCTGGGAAGGTAAGGGTGATGCGTTAAAAGTGTTTGGATATTTAAGGTCAGAGCTACTTTGGAGAGAGAGAAGAAAAAGGTATTAAATAACAGCTATTTTTAAAATAAAAGGAAAAGAAAAAGAGTACTATTTTAGAGACTACTACAGAAAAGGAGCCCTGAAATGGAGGCATAGCAGAATTATGAATACCTAAGTGGGGAACAGACCTCACAAATGAAATTAAACATATTGGGGCCAACCCATCACTGCTCTAATTAAGTTTTCTCTTACTAGTGTCCTGTGTTTTCCATGCCTAGCTTGTCTGTAGACTCAGGCTCTAATGTAGAAGAAAGCAGAACGATTTCTAAAGAGAAAATTCTATATCGGATCCTGCCTCAGTTCAACAGGCCTCTTATTTCAATACAAGTACAAGAAGCAGCTTTTTAAGCTGAGAAGAGAAGGATTCACCGACGTGTTAGTGTTATGCAGCCACTTTGAGACAAGCTGTGGCAAGTACAGAATGGATGAACGCTGTTCCGCAGATGGTGAAACCTGAGAGTGAGTTCAGTCAATTCTGTCTGTACTAAGGACCAAGGTGTGCTGGTCACAGGAATCCAGACTTGACTGTAATGGAGCTGGGACGCCTCCATCGGAGTGCTTACCCTGCTGGCGTCCAGGAGGAGCTTCTTTCTGCTGGGACCGTGGCTGGAAGTCCTCATCTTGGCCCTGAGGTGGGAAAAAGCCCAGGAAATGTTACTGGCAGCAGCAACATCGCCACATTCGGGCAAACGTGGCTAAATGAATATTTCAGCAGGTTGGCTATTTTTATACCGCTCTTGGCCTGCAGAATAAATTGTGTGGCCAACTTCTCTTTGGGTGCTGCTTTAACTCACAGCAGAATCCCCATTTAGGGATCTAGTGGTTGAGAAAAGGAAAACGGGCTGACAGCAGGTATCAGACTTAGAAATACCTGATCGTGCATCAAAGCCCAGAGAAAGCGAAGATGTGAAGCTTCAGTTCCACAGAACATTCAGGCAAGTGGAAAGACGCGAAGCTCCACACCTCCAGTACCTTCACATCCCACCCGGCTGGGAAGGAGTGCCCGCTCTGCTCCGCCGTGGGCACTGGGAGGGGGTAAGTCACCTCCTGGTGGTCTGCCTTCACTGTTCCCATACGTCTTGGGGCCCCACAGTCCCAGGAAAAGAGAAGCTGCTCTCTGCGAACCTGGGAGGGAAGCACTCTAGGAGCAAACCACACCTACGATTGTCCCAGCAGCTCTCTGGGTGCTAATAAAAACGACTGAATTGTTTTACTGACTCATTTTGTCCCTGACAGAGAATTAAAAAAAAAGAATTAGCCTCCTAAATAGCAACTTCAACATGTTAGCAATGTGCTCAATATTCCACCTAATATCGCAGCACCTCACCCAACAACTGATACCCTCTTATAGACACTTATATTTTAGATTGGACTATCTTTTTTTAATAGAAACTTTCTGAAAATCTGGGTTTTTAAAAAAATATTTTATTGATTTTTTACAGAAAGGAAGAGAGAGGGATAGAGAGCAAGAAATATCGACGAGAGAGAATCATCGATCAGCTGCCTCTTGCACACCCCCTACTGGGGATGTGTCCTCAACCAAGGTACATGCCCTTGACCAGAATTGAACCCGGGACCTTTCAGTCCGCAGACCGACGCTCTATCCACTGAGCCAAACCGGTTTCAGCAAATCTGTGGGGTTTTTAAATGTATTTTTGTTGATTTCAGAAAGGGAGTAGAAGAGATAAACATCAATGATGAGAATCACTGATTGGTTGCCCCCTACCAGCCCCCTACTGGGGATTGAGCCCACTATCTGAGCATGTACTCTGACCAGGAATCAAACTGTGACCTCCTAGTTCACAGGTTGACACTCAACCACTGTGCCAGGCTGGCCGGGCTAGACTGGACTTTTAAATAAATATATATAAATATAAATATATAACTATATTTTTTTCCAGAGGGGGAGGAGATAGAAACATCAATAATGCAATAAATTCATTGATAAGCTGCCTTCTGCATGCCCCACACTGGGGACTGAGCCCGCAACCCAGACATGTGCCCTTGACTGGAATTGAACCTGGGACCCTTCAGTCCATAGGCCGAAGCTCTATCCATTGAGCCAAACTGGCTAGGGCTGGACTATCCTTTACATTTCTAAAAGCTTATGCTCACTAGGTAAAACAGTTACATTTTATTTGTTCTTGTATAATATCTTGGGACCTCTTAAATCTTGTGCCTTCTTATTGTGTTTTCTGGTATTACGTTCTCATTGTAGGTATTGGACACAACTGTATAGATCTGATTGCTTTTCTTCTCAGCCTTGGTCTTAAGGAACAGAAGAATCCTACTTTGCTGAAGAAGGGGTTGTGTTCACATTACATTGCAAATATTAACTTACTTCCTTTCCTGTCCAGCACTCGCCAACCTTTCAGCCCTCACAGACCACTGGTTGGCGACCGCTGCCTTAGTCCACCCACTGGAACAGGCAGATGCCAGTGAAGGCCTGAGAGAGGAAGTGACTCGCCTAAGGACAAGAACAAGCAGCAGCAGCAGCTGGCCTCACCACTGACCTGTCCGGCCCTGGCCTGCTGGGAGAGATGGACAGTTCCATGTGCTTTCGTTTCTTCTTTATGGCTCTTGCTGCTTTCCTCTCGGCGAGGCCCTTCAGAGAGGAACCAGACGCCTGTGATTCCTCCTTTCTCAGAGCTGCTCACAGTTCATGAGGGCACAATGAACTCCCCATCTTTAAGTTGCAAAAGCAACTTTGTCAACTTTGCAAGTAAGGGTAGACATCCTGTTAGGGACAATCTTAAGACAGTTAGCCACGGGGGAAAAGATGGTCTCATGCATCCTGTTCTGATTGGACCTGGGCAGCAACAAGGGAAAATAGAAAGGGCCTAGTGCAAGATTTATTTTAATTTTTTGCCCCAAGAACCAATTTAAAAAATATTATTTTTATTGATTTCAGAGAGCAAGTGATAGGGAGAAAAATAGAAACATTAATGATGAGAAAATCATTGATCAGCTGCCTCCTGCACGACCCCCATTGGGAACAAAGCCCACTACCCAAGCATGTGACCAGGAATGAAACCATGATCTCCGGTTCATAGGTTGATGCTCAACCATTGAGCCACACTGGCTGGGCTAGAGCAGAATTTTTGGGATTTTCAACATGAACTAATAAAGGCAGTTTTCACTTTCTATAAGGAGACAAACTTACCAATCCAAGGGAACCGTCATCTACTGGTCTCCCTATAACAGGAAATTTAAATGTCATAATGGGTTAAGATATCGATTCACCTGGATTTCTGGCTACCATTTGCTTTTGTCTAGAACTGGTCCAAGACAAAACCTCCGTGTATACTCTTTCCCCTTCTGTCTGGTACCACCTATCCTAGAAATACAGTCTTCAAAAATCTCTTCCTCCCCTATTTTAGAATTTTATCATCTACAAGCTGAAAATCCAGAGTTTGATTCACACTGTATTCTAATGATATGCCACTTATAAAGGGGGCCCTCCCTCCAAAAAGGGGGGCCTTATTATGAAACAAAAGGTGGACCTTCAGATATCAGTGACAAATTAACTGGGGAGATATTTTGAGGTAAGGCCTTTGCTCTCTTTTCCTAATCAAACTTGCAGGTGTCTACTTGTCCCATTATAAGTAAAAATAGCAATGACTCAGATTAAAAATTAGGAGATACTACTTTAAGATACTACTAAGGTGAAAGTTACTGAAACCTCTAAAATGGAAGAAAGTCTTCATAAATAGGCTCTTTCATTGAGTGATTAGACTGTATACTTCCTTTCCAACCTCCAATATTCATATATTTTATGGTTTTAACAACTCAATAAGTACTATTATTCACAATTTCACAAAAAAGGCACAAAAAAGGGCACAGAAATATTAACAAACTTATCTAAAAATTAATTTTAAAACACATATCCTTGGGTGAGGATTAAAAAAAAAAAAGAAATTTGTTGAAGGTCACTCAGATTAAGTGGCAAGGCCACCAGGATTTGAACTAGGCATTCTGGGTTGGAGCACATGCTCCTGACCTCTCCACTGGGTGGTTCTGGAGCCCAGGCTGACTGACCATTTCCCATTTCAGCTGACACTACTAACCATGCAAGTTCAGCCTTCCCCTTCCTCTTCTCCACCACCTACTCTGCCATCACTCTACTTACCAGATGACAGGTTCTCATTAAACCACTTCAGCTCCACATACAGTGTCAAAACAAATGGATAGGGGATCAACACGATGTCGCCGTTTTTGAATTTCAAGTGGGACACTCTCTCCCATTTGCTTTTATCTGGGAAACGGTGTTAAGGAGTGAGAAAAGAAGTCACTACGAATCCGAGGACTATTTTAGCGATGACGTTTTCTCCCTTCCCTGACCAACCTAGACTGTCTATGGGTTTATCGCTTCCATTTGAATCTACAATGTGCATTGTAGCTCCTTCCCATCCAGAAATGAAAGGATACAGGGAAATACAACAAAGTGTTCTGTAGCAAATGGCTGCAGACTGTCCAAATTTCCCAAGACCACACGAATAGAATCCTGGAAAATGACATGCTGTTAATTAATTTAATACTCAAAAACTCTATGAGATAGACATTTCTATCATCCCCATTTTACAGATGAGGAAACAGACAAAAAGAGGTAAAATGACTTATTCAAGGTTACATAGCTAGTAATGGTGAAGCCAAGATATGAATCCAGGCAGTGGGATTCCTAATTGTTATACTCTTAACAATTAGGCTATACTGCCTATTAATAAATATCTCCTAAATAAATGAAAGAGAATAATAAAATCTGCCTCAAAACAAATGAGAGCAAAAGAGAACATATAAAAAAACACTTTGGAAACTTTAATATTATATATTATAAATATATATAAATGCTCTCTAGGTACTATTGAGCACTATGTGGCAGGCACCGCACCCATCTATTTCTAATCCTCGCCATAATCTTGGAAACAAGCAGTCCTCGCTGACAAGGGAACATTCACAGAAGGTAGGTCACTTGCCCACAATCAGGCTGTGAGGCAGAACTGGAATCAAATCCAGTTTGAATGGCTCTAAAATCTATGCTCTCTTTAAAAAAGAAGGAATTCTCATCATTTGCAGCAACCTGGATGGAATTGGAGAACATCATGCTGAGTGAAATAAGCCAATCAATGAAAGAGAAACACCACATGACCCCACTCATTTGTGGATAATAAAGATCATTATAAACTGATGAACCAAAAGATAGATATAGAGACAGTAAACCAACAAGCAGATTGTCAAATTACAGTGGGGAGGGGAGGAGGGTCTGGGGGAGATAATAAATCAACCCAAGGACTTGTATACATGCATATAAGTACAACCAATGGACATAAAACTCTGGGGAGGGAGGGGATATGTGGGAGGGAAGGAGGGGGGCAAAAAAAAATCAATAAAATATGTAAAAAAATAAATAAATAAAATAAAATCTGTGCTCTCTTGAGCTCTTCTCTGCCCCGCTAACTGAAGCAAAGTGAAATAAATCCTGCTCTACTCACTATTAAGATAAGCAAAAAACTGTCATTGTCCTATACTGCTATTTATAACAATCTCTCTAAGGTCCTGCAAGATCCTAATGTATCTTCCAACACTTAGCTGAAGAGCCACAAGTATCTTTAAGGCTATGACTCAAATTTTTTGTTTCATCGATTATCATGTTTATGTATTTAATTCTATTTGAATTCTTTGAAATGTGACAGCACATGTCTTCATAAACCACAATAGTCATAAATCACTGAGCTGGGAAGTTAGGAGAGAATAAACTAAAACTCTTCGTTTATCAATGAGGCAATCAAGACCCAGAGAGAGAAATGATTTGCTGAGGGTCACACCGCTAATTAGTGGCTCAGCCAGGACTGGAATCCAGAACCAGTTCCCAGAACTCTTGCCCAGTGCTTTTACCAATTTACAAAAATGTCCACCTGCTCAGTCTTCTTCCTGTGGGAAAACCTAAATCTAGAGGAGCTGAGTAGAAAAGGAATGAAAATGAGATGGGAATAAAGCAATGGAAAATGTTTCCAATTAAAATGAAGACAGCAGCCTGTCTCTGTATTTACAATGGAACTTCCTGGACGTCAAGTACCAGGCGGTGGTTAGGATGGGAGGTTTCCCAGAGCCCTGGAAGGCGGCGGGCCTCATTTCTCCGGAAGCTTCCTCGGTGCCAGCTGCCACAGAGGAAAGCTGCCGTGGCCGGGAACTCTGGTAGAAACAAAACTCCCAGCCTCAAAGGTGCTGACACTTCAACTAGGAAAACTGAGAGAGAATACGGGCTTTACTGACCCTGGGAAAATAGTACAAGTGGTTTGCAGAGGAAATGTAGCAGGGAGAAGCCAAGTAATCGAGTGGAGGTTGTGACTCAGTTGGTGAGAAATAATTAAAATTTGGACATGGACACATTTTCGGCTTAAAGAACAACTTTCCAGAAGTTGTCAGCTTCTTTCCCTACCTCCAGCTCCCGGATGATGACTTCCTTACTTTCTGCATCTTCCCCTCTAGAAAGTAAGCAAACAAACGATCAGCCAGGGAAAGTTCTGGAGACAGTAGACAGTAGAGCAAAAATGACACTGCCACTGAGCTAAAGAAACAGCTATAACAATAAAATCATAATATGCTAATTAGACCAGAAAGGATGACCTTCCAGATGAAGCTGGGGCTTTGAAGGAAGCCGGGGTCCTGGGTGCCAGAGGAAAACCAGTGCTGGGGGGGGGGGGAGGGCTACTGTGTCATGAATTTTATGCATCGGGCCTCTAGTGACTAAATCACAATTGCACGTGCTAACCCAGAGCTCATGGGAGGAAGTGATCCCCTAGGAGGTGTGGTCTGAGAATTAGTACAAGGCTATATAGCAAAATATCTTCTCCACTAACTGCCAAGACCTGAAATTCTCATATGAAAGTTACTAATCTGTTAGACCATTTGTACTCATGTATGGGCAGATGACACCTAGGGGTTCTCAAGACCCTTCCTTTCAAGGGGTCTCAAAAGGCAAACATCATTTTCATAATAATATTACAATTTACTTGCCTTTGTCACTGTGCTAACTTTTGATTTGTAATCTTTAGTGCAAAAACAATGGTGAGCAAAATTGCTGGTGTCTTATCTTAAATCAAGCCAATTACACTTACCGTATTTTCCGATGACTTTTTTTTTAAAAAGGTTTTTTTGTTTTGTTTTGTTTTAAATGTATTTTTATTGATTTTACACAGAGAGGAATTGAGAGGGACAGAGAGTTAGAAACATCAATGAGAAAGAAACATTGACCAGCTGCCTCTTGCACATCCACCACTGGGGATGTGCCCGCAACCAAGGTACATGCCCTTGACCGGAATCGAACCCGGGACCCTTCAGTCCGCAGGCCAACGCTCTATGCACTGAGCCAAACCGGTCCCGGCCCGACGACTTTTGAAACAAAAAAAAGTCAACCGAAAATTGGGGGCAAAAGACCAAAATTGCACAAAAATTACCTGCAGATCTTGACGGCAAAGTAAGTCTTTTCTTTGAAGTGAGGGTAGTTTTATACAGCGAATATAGGCCTAAACCTATGTTTTAACTGTAAAATTAGGGGGTCATCTAACCATACTAGCAGTTGTAGTCATCATTACTGCCACACAGAAAGAAAAAAAAAATCTAGTTTAATTTAATATTCTTGAGGAAGCAATAAAAATGTAATAATTTGCCAAAACTGGTTTGGCTCAGTGGATAGAGCGCCAGTGGGGGGTCTGCAGTGGGCAGCTGATCGATGTCTCTCTCTCATCGATGTTTCTAACTCTCTATCCCTCCACCTTCCTCTCTGTAAAAAATCAATAAAATATATTTTTAAAAATGTAATAATTTGTTAAAATCTCAACCTCTGATTCATGTCTTTTTAATACTATGTGATAAAGTGGGAAGCATGCATAAAACATTTCTGCCTACAGAAATACAAGAGTTGTCTGAAATAAAACCACTTGTGCAGTTAAGCTGAAAACTTACTTCCCTGCTCTTTTCATGGAACAGTATTTTTTGAAAGTGTTTTTACTCTCTTTTAATAAATCTTTATTGTTCAGATTATTATAGTTGTTCCTTTTCCCCCATAGCTCCCCTCCACCCGGTTCCCACCCCACCCCACGCCCTTACCCCCCTCATTGTCCTCACCCATAGGTTCAAGATTTTTGTCCAATCTCTACCCTCCCTCCTCACACCTCTCCCCCCCAAGAATGGTCAGCCCACCCCCTTTCTATGCCCCTGATTCTATTATATTCACCAGTTTATTCTGTTTTTCAGATTTTTTGAAACAGTATTTTATTCGAATGATCAGTTGACACAAACTATGGTTGTTATTTAGACTTGGTAATATGACATTTTCTCAAAAATGAACAGTGAGCTTATAAACTTAAGTATTTATTGTCAATGATAAATTTTGGGATTTGAAGCAAAAATTTGCACTTTGGAAAACTTCTGTCCACCACTATGAGGTAGGTATATGCCCTGATGGGAATCGAACCATAACCTTCTGGTTCATAGGTTGATGGTCAATTACCAAACCATGCCAGTTGGCCAGCCAGCGGGCTATATGCTTAACTTTTTGAGGAAATACCAAACTGTTTTCCAAAATGGCCACACCATTTTATTTCCACCAGTAATATATGAAGATTGCAATTTCTCCACATCTTTGCCAAGAACTGATATTTTACTTTAAAAAAATATATATTTTATTGATTTTTTACAGAGAGGAAGAGAGAGGGATAGAGAGCTAGAAACATCAATGAGAGAGAGACATCGACCAGCTGCCTCCTGCACACCCCCTTCTGGGGATGCACCCGCAACTAAGGCACATGCTCTCGACTGAAATCGAACCTGGGACCTTTCAGTCCGCAGGCCGAAGTTCTATCCACTGAGCCAAACCGGTTTCGGATGATATTTTACTTTTTAAAAATTTTGAATTATAGCCCTGGCTAGTTTGATTCAGTTTGTTTAGCACCATCCCATGTACTGAAAGGTAACCATATCGATGTATCTCTCCCCCTCCTTTCTTCTCACTCTAAAATCAATAAAAACACACTTAAAAAAATAATTTTTATTGATTTCAGAGAGGAAGAGGGGAGAGATAGAAACATCAATGATGAGAATTATTGGATTGGCTGCCTCCTGCATGCCCCTTACTGGGGATTGAGCCTACAATCCAAGAATGTTCCCTTGACTGGAATAGAACCCAGAACCCTCAGTCCACAGGCCGAGGCTCTATCCACTGGGCTAAACCAGTCAAGTCAATAAAAACATACCTTTAAAAAATTCCTTTCCAATTTTTATGCATTTTATATTTTTGACTAATTGCTCTAACTAGAACTTCAGTACAATGCAGTGGTTGGCAAACTTCGGCTCGCGAGCCACATGCGGCTCTTTGACCCCTTGAGTATGGCTCTTCCACAAAATAACATGGCCTGGGCGGAGTCTATTTTGAAGACGTGGCATTAGAAGAAGTTTAAGTTTAAAAAATTTGGCTCCCGCCGGGACCGGTTTGGCTCAATGGATAGAGCGTCGGCTTGGAGACTGAAAGGTCCCGGGTTCGATTCTGGTCAAGGGCATGTACCTTGGTTGTGGGCATATCCCCAGTAGGGGGTGTGCAAGAGGCAGCTGATCGATGACTCTCTCTCATCGGTGTTTCTAACTCTATCTCTCTCCCTTCCTCTCTGTACAAAATCAATAAAATATATTTTAAAAAAAATAAAAAATAAAAAAAAATAAAAAATAAAAAATTTGGCTCCCATAAGAAATTTCAATCGTACTGTTGATATTTGGCTCTGTTGACTAATGAGTTTGCCGACCACTGATATATTGAATAAAAGTGGTGAAAGTGGGCATCCTTAACTTATTTCTGATCATACTTTTAAGTATGATGAGTATTTGACTATGATGTCAGATGTTTTTCATATATGGCCTTTATCATGTTGAAGAAATTTTCTAGTTTGTTTTTATCACAAAAAGATGGTCAAATGCTTTTTCTGCATCAATTGAGATGGTCATATGGTTTTCCCTCCTTCATTCTATTAATGTGGGCTATATATACTGTATACTGTGTATATATTTGAGAATACGTTTATTAAAGCTGGGGACAGTGAAACAGAAGGAATTAGAAGCAACAGGAAAGAGGTAGGCAGGGCTTCTTTGGCTCACTGAGAAGACAGAGAAAAAGGGGTTTTTGGAGACAAGTTCAAGGGGTTAACCTGGGCTCTAGCTGGTTTGGCTCAGTGGACAGAGTGCTGGCATGTGAACCAAAGGGTCCTGGGTTCGATTATGGGCAGATACCTCGGTTGCAGGCTCCTCCTTGGCCCGGGTCCTGGTCAGAGCACATGCAGGAGGCACCAATCAATGTTTCTCTCATGTCAATATTTCTCTGTCTTTGTCTCTCTCTAAAAATCAATGGAAAAATATTGTGTATTAAAAAAATAAGGGGGGGGCCGAAACCGGTTTGGCTCAGCGGTAGAGCATCGGTCTGCAGACTGAAAGGTCCCAGGTTCGATTCCGGTCAAGGAGATGTGCGTTGGTTGCAGGCACATCACCGGTAGGGGGTGTGCAAGAGGCAGCTGGTCAATGTTTCTCTCTCATTGACGTTTCTAGCTCTCTATCTCTCTCCCTTCCTCTCTGTAAAAAATCAATAAAAAATATTTTAAAAATTAAATTAAATTTAAAAAAATAAGGGAGGGAGATTAGCCCTTGATGAGCTGCCATTGCCCATTGCTTCCCCAGTTGCAAGACTTGTGGGAACTCTCAGAGTTTAGAAAATGCACACCTGAGAGAGAAGAAAGACATGGCATGCCCTGGGAGAGCAGCTGACTGTGGTGTATTACAGTGATGGGTTTTGTATGTTGTACCATCCTTGTATTCTGGAGCAAATCCCAGGAATATAAATAATGCCATCCTTCTCACAATTTTTAAAAAATATTTTTATTGATTTCAGAGAGGAAAGAAGAGGGATATAGAAATATAGAAACATCAATGATGAGAGGGAATCATTGATTGGCTACCTCCTGCATGTTGAACTGAGCTCACAAACCAGGCATGAGCCTTTGACCAGAATCAAACCTAGGACTCTTTAGTTCGCAGGCTGACGCTCTATCTACTGAGCCAAACTAGCTAGGGCTCTCATTAATTTTTTTTTAAAGATACAGTTATTTTAGCCTGGCTGGTATGGCTCAGTGGTTGAGCATCACTGTTCGATTCCTGATCTGGACACTTGCCCAGGATTTCGGACTCAATCTCCAGTAGGGGGCATGCAGGAGGCAGCAGACCAATGCATCAATGATGTTTCTATCTGTCCCTCTAACTTCCTCTCTGAAATCAATAAAAAAATATTTTTTTTAATAAAAGATAGGTATTTTAAATAAAATGTTATTTGTCAACATTTAAGGACATAAGGCCATGGCCAGGTAGCTCAGTTGATTAGAGCATTGTCTCCATATGCCAAGGTTGTGGGTTCAATCCCCAGTCAGGGCACACAGAAAAAGCAACCAATGAATACATAAATATGTAGAACAATAAGTCAATGTCCCTCTTTCTCTCTCTCTCCCCTTCCATTCATCTCTAAGTCAATTAAAACATTTTAAAGATATATATTTTAAAATTAGTATGTTAATTTTGTTTTAATTTTCATATGATAAGTTTTGACAGTTATAATCCACATAATCAAAAACTTTGAGATACTCAATAATTTTAAGAGTGCAAAGGGATCCTGAGAAAAATTTGAGAACCACTTCCCCAGAGGTATGCCATCACTAATTTAGGAAATTATATGAGTAATGACATATGGAACATAAAATACCTGGGAAAGACCCACTGGGCTGGGTGAAGGCAAAGAAGGGATCATCTATGAGAAAATGCATTAACCGGCTTACAAAGGCTACCCTCCTAGCTTTAAATTTACCTGATGCTGTCACCATATCTGATTTTGAATTTATACACACTTGTTCCTGAATGAAGAAATCTTGTCTCTGGAAACGGGTAGGTGAAGGGTTTTAAACTCATTGCTTCCACACAATAGCCTAAATAAAGGAGAAATGTTAAGAGAATTATTAAAAACTAAAGATAGGAAAGACTCTCTTGCCCAATCTGTAGCATTCTTTATAAGTAAAATGTTCAATACTCAGCACCACTGCCTATGTCCCAGGCTCGGTTCTGATATTCATCACCTAGACCATTATCCTAGCTGCATGGGAGGGTACATGGTGTTTTGGGATGATCTCTATACTTAAAGTCAAAAGTCCTGAACAAGTTTTCACGTTTACCTTACAACTTTGTGCACTCTTCCTTGAGACTAATTCTAACATCTGATGACTCAGAGGGTTTTTGTTAGGATTAAGTATCTATCTCCAAATATTTTTTGAATCTATTCTCTGCCCTTGTCCTCACTTTCTCTAGGCCAGTGGTCGGCAAACTCATTAGTAACAGAGCCAAATATCAACAGTACAACCATTGAAATTTCTTTTGAGAGCCGCATTTTAATTTTTTAAATTTATTTTTTAATGTGTTTTTTTGTTTGCTTGTTTTTTAAATATATTTTATTGATATTTTACAGAGAGGAAGGGAGAGAGATAGAGAGCTAGAAACGTCGATGAGAGAGAAACATCGTCCAGCTGCCTCTTACACACCGCCTACCGGGGATGTGCCCGCAACCAAGGTACATGCCCTTGACCGGAATCGAACCTGGGACCTTTCAATCTGTAGACCGACGCTCTACCGCTGAGCCAAACCGGTTTCGGTGAGAGCCACATTTTTAAAACTTAACTTCTCCTAACGCCACTTCTTCAAAATAGACTCCGCCCAGGCCGTGGTATTTTGTGGAAGAGCCACACTCAAGGGGCCAAAGAGCCGCATGTGGCTCACAAGCCGCAGTTTGCCGACCACAGCTCTAGGCCGATGTGAACAGGGCTCAAGCGAAATAATCTAAAGGCTATACCAGTAAGTGGCGAAAGTAGGAAGACCTGTGCTATTAATTTCACATGCAGTCAGGAGAGGAGCACGCCTCCCGGCCACAGCCAGTGCAGCAGGATGTACAGACACCTCCCAGCGATGCTGAGGGGCGCCTCACCTTCCTGCCTCTCACTCACTCTTCGCTTCGCCTGTGAGACTGCTCTGCGCCACAAGTGTCTACTATCCTCCGAGCGCTTCCGTGGTTTACTTTCTAGCCCAGAATCTCTGCCCACTTATGGTCCTCTACGGGAAACTCTGGCAAGAGGAGATGGAAAAGGATGGCATGTCTCTTCTCCTCCAAAAGGCAATTGGTATGGGCTCAGAGCTAAGATTCTCAGTCACTACGATTTTTCTGTGCCTTTTTTCTTTATAGATATATTAAGCCCTGCACTTTTTGTCTTTTCATATGGAAGTTGAAATAATAATGAGAGCCGAAACCGGTTTGGCTCAGTAGATAGAGTGTCAGCCTGCGGACTGAGGGCTCCCGGGTTCGATTCCAGTCAAAAGGGCACGGGCCTTGGTTGTGGGCACATCCCCAGTGGGAGGGTGTGCAGGAGGCAGCTGATCAATGTTTCTCTCATCGATGTTTCTAGCTCTCTGTCCCTCTCCCTTCCTCTCTGTAAAAAATCAATAAAATAATGAGAGTAATAGGTCCATTGTTCTTGAAGTTTGAGGCTACCTTTATACAATGCAAGGTATTGATTTCGGAGGAAGCAGAGAGGAGGTAAGGAGAACCGTCACAAAGTAAAAACAATTTAGGTTTAAATCTCAGCTCCAATGTCATTACTTAGTTTCTCTGGGCTTTGGTTTTCTTATTTATACAATAATTACCAATTTTTTCATGCCCTCTTATCCCAATCCTCACAATAAGCCTATGAGATAAGTAGCCTAAATTTGATAGATGAGGAAACAGATCCTGAGAGATGAAGTAACCTTCATAGCTTTGAATATTGGAAATGAAACTCAAACTAAGACAGTATAAACCAGACTTGATAACCTTAACCACTTTCCTACTCTGCTTTTTGGGGTTATTCAAAAGGAAAAAGAAAAATAAATATAACATTATTTTATAAGTACTAAAATACTAGTATTAACCTCACATAAAGGACTATTTTCATTATTCTTTACTCCATTATTACTGATACCATGTCTACTCAGCAGGGAAAACTCTTACATGGTGGAGCCAGAAAATTTATGTGCCCAAAGAATGGAATTTCCCACAATTTCCAAAGTTCAAGCCTGGGGCTGCCAGTAAAGAGATACCTCAGTGTCTGATCTCAGCTGCTGGGGATTAGAATGACCGGAGGTTGGAGCCAGAGCCCAGTAGACTATTTAGACTAGAATTGCAGTCAAAAGTAAAGAGAAATAGTTGATGCCAACTGCAAAGTTACCAAAGGTGAAATACTGTTCATGTGCTGAGAAAAATCTTGATTTTCCATGCCCAAGACATAGCAGGTACCCAGGCTAGATTTGATGGTGTTTTGGGGTTTGGCTCAGTGGATAGAGCGTTGGCCTGCGGACTGAAAGGTCCCAGGTTCGATTCCGGTCAAGGGCATGTACCTTGATTGCAGGTACATCCCAAGTTGAAGGTGTGCAAGAGGCAGATGATCGATGATTCTTTCTCATTGATGTTTCTAACTCTCTATCCCTCTCTCTTCCTCTCTGTAAAAAATTAATAAAATATATTTTTAAAAAAAGAAAGAATGGCAACTGTATGTCCCTGTACTATTAAGTTGATGGGATCTTGTAGTAGAAGGGACAGACTCTCAGCCCATCTTTAGGTGGTCACAAAACATGATGGCTTTAAGACAAAAGAAGAAAAGTTATAGGCAATATGGAATAGTGGGGAAGACACAAGATTTGGAATTGGAAGACCAAGGCTTGAGTCCTAGCTCTGCTTCTTACTAGTTATTAAACAACTCATTCAACCTCTTCAGTTTCTACATCTACAGATGGGGATCCCACCTATTCCTACAATTGTTGTGAGCACTGAATGAGATAAACTCATAAACTCTAGAATACTATGTAAACATTAGCTTCTCCACTAATGCTTCACTTGAAAAGCAAATTCAAGAGAGGAAAACTGGTTAGCTTTCATCTCAGTGCAAGATCTGACAAATCCCAATAAAAAAAATCTTACCTTGAAAATACCCAATAGTCTTAAATGACACATTGGCATTGATGTCATAAAGATTTTTCAAGGTTTGAGTAATTCACATAAAGAAAAATCTGGGTCAGTGCACAGAACCCAATATGAGGATAATCATGTTGTCTATTGAGGTGGAAGGAGATGATAATAGGAAGTATTGTCACCAAATGTTTCTGGTGTTATTTGATGGAACAATCTTCCAGTGTTGAATAAAGAACTTCCATAGGCATTTGTCCAAAATACATTCACTGAGGAAAACAGGACAGGCTCTGTGACCACCAATATGGGCAACAAAATAGGAAAATCACACTGATACTATGAATCCAACACCCAAGCTTTAGAACTGAGACTGAGGACAGATGACCAACTTCTCCTCACACCTTCAAACGTCCATGGTGAAGCCCTGTCCTGGAGGCTCAGCTGTCTGGCGCACTGTTCCATGCACCAAAAGGTTTGATCCTCAATTGGAGTGTATATGGGGTAACTGATGGATGTTTCTCTCTTACATCAATGTTACTCTCTCTCTCCCCTTTCCTCTCTCTCTAAAAATCAATAAAAGCATATCCTCGAGTGAGGATTTAAAAAAAAAAAAAAAAAAAAAAGTCCCATGGCTAACCTCAGAGGTCTGCCTGCCTTTGCTGAAGTAGATTCAGACTCTTTGAAAGTCTGTATTTCCAACCAGAGAGCTATGGTTGTCTATATAGTGCCCTTTGTTTTATTTCTTTTTAATATATCTTTATTGATTTTAGAGAGGAAGGGAGGAGAGATGGAAACATCAATGATGAGAATCATTGATCAGCTGCTTCCTGCAAGCCCTCCTACTGGGGACTGAGCCCGTAACCAGGATATGTGCCTTTGACCAGAACTGAACCCTATACCCTTCAGTCTGCAGGCCAACCCTCTGCCCACTGAGCATGCCCTTTGTGTTAGAGGAGATAAGAGGAAAGTGCTTCACCAAAGAAGTTAACTTCCACAAGGTCACATAACTCACGGTGGAACCAGGATTAGCACCGGAGGGAGGGAAATATTGACATTAGAGAGATACACCGATTGGTTGCCTCCTGCACATGCTCCTTCAGGGGATGGGGTTGGGGAACCTGCAACCGAGATACATACCCCTGACCAGGAATCAAACCCACGAACCTTTGGCCTGTGGGCCAATGTTCTAACCACTGATCAAACCAGCCAAGGCTACTTCCATGATTATTGATGTCATTCTTTCTCAGTAGGTTTCTTCCTACTCTTTCTGGTAAAGCACAATCTTTTTTTATTTTTATTTTTATTTTTATTTTTTAAAACTGTTCCCATTTGAGAAACAGAGTTAAACTGGATATAATTCCAAACACAATTTCACAAGATAATCTGGATAATGAGCAAGAAGCATCACAATGTAAAGCACAATCTTTAAAATGTCATTGGCATTTGTCCAGGAATAGATTTGCTCTTGGAACGATGTCTGATTTTGTTTTGTTTTGTTTTCAAGGAAAGAGTATCTAAACCTCCTCACAGGGAGGCAGATAGATTCCCTGAAATGAAATCGAGGCCTCAGTAGACAACTCCACAGACCCAGAAAGTTGTCCAAGTCAACCTCTGATTTTCCCCATTGCGGTGCGTGTGGCCCGGCAGCAAGATCGGTCCCTGAGATCCGGCCAGAGGTGGGCGAGGATCTCCACCGAGTGTCTCCCTGGCCTGCGGAAGGGGATTCCACGGACCCGCAGAGCCCGGCACTTGGCTAAGGCCCGCAGCCGCCATGGCGCCCCCTTGCCGGCCCCCCGCCCCGCCCCCTCCTCCATCCGGCCCGCAGCCTGGGCACCGGGCCTCCATGATGATGACGAGGCCCTGCGGTCGGGCACAGGGTTGATGGGCGTCCAAAGGGGCCCCCGGGCTGGGAAGGTGACACGGGGGG